TGGTTCTGAGATAATTTTAGACTCATCTGCAGCTATGAAAAAATAATATTGAGTGTTCCTGCCAAGACTGTCATCATTTCTCCAAGCAGTAACACTTCAGAACTCTGTAGGACACCAAATCCCAGTCTTGCTCATCCTTTGGGTAGAGTGAACATGTGGTAGAACACTGTAGCACTAAGACCCCCCCCCCACACACACACCAAACAAAACATGGCCTCGGATGGCTTCCAGGAGCATCCGGAGACAAGCTCTTCACCCCAGAGGCTGGGAAAGGTGCCCCAGCCTAGGCCTCTATGGAGCCTGTAGCTCTCAGAAGTCACTCTATAGATGTTTGCTGTGGAACAATCTTTGTACACTGTAAATATGTATTACTCTCATTGGTTAATAAAGAGCTGACTGTTCTATAGCTGGACAGGAAGAGAATGGGAGAGCCAGACTAGGAGGAAGCTGGGGGAAGAGAGGAGTCTACTCAGGAGACCCCATGAGATGCAGAGTAAGCAGGATGGGAAGTCACATGAGGTAAACAAGCCTCAGGGCAGCACACAGAGGAATAAACATAGGTTAAGTTATAAGAACTAGCTAAAAAACAAGGCAAAGCTATCGCCTGAGCATTTAAAATGAATAATAAGTCTCTGTGTGGTTATTTGGGGAGTGGCTGGCAGGAAAGAGCTGATCTGCAGTCTAGATGGAAAACTCCACCCACAGATGTCCAGCCTGCCCAACTTGTTGTCTGCCTGTTCAGCCCCCCAGGAACTGTTACACTACTTGCTGCCCTGGGGTAAAGAGAGGAGACAGTGAGCGTCAGGAGACAAAGGAGACACATGGAATGGCTTCAGTGAGCAGGGCAGGAATGGGCAGCCAGAGAGACTGTAGGGCCAGGCTGCCCCTAGCAGAAGTGGCTTCTCTGTGGTAGCTTGGGCCCCATTCTGGGATTTTAGGACCTTCCATAGCCTGTCTGTTTTGTGGGCTGTCAGGAAGTATGGCAGGCCTAGGAGAAATGATGGGAGGGAAGACAGGTAAACGGCAGAGGTGTGGGATCAAGAATGGTTGTCTCTCAGTACTTGTAGGGATTGGCTTGCCAACCCTTCAGGTGCTGGTTTCTCCATCCTTCTGCCTCAGCATCTTGAGCACTGGGATCACAGATATACAGCACCAGGTTTCTCCAAATACTTTAAATCACCTCTAGGTAATGCAGTGTGTCAAGTGCCAGGCAGATGCTGTGGAAACAGTGGCCACACTATGCTGTTTGGGAGAACAAAGGTGTGGAAAGTCCACACACGAGGAGCAAGCTAGTAAATAGATGTGAGCATCACAGGCCCACACACTTGAGGTGAGCAACATTAAAGAGCCAGGTTTGCAGAGACAAAAGAACAGACTGAACATAATAACATCATCACTGCAAAAAACCCTGATGCCATGCCCCTCTGTCTATCTCAAACTGTACTGCCCACTTCTGTTTTGAAAGGAATCCCAGACACAATAAGGCTTGTCCACACCTGCACCACATAAACCCTGCAGACACGGAAGGAAAGACCTGGTGTTGAGATAACAGTCGTTTGCCAAGCAGTGGCCACCCTTAGCCAGCTGATCCCACAGGCCCCTGCTGGGGAAACCTTGCTCCCAGGAAAGCTGCTGCCCTTGGGGACATGATGGCCAGGGTGGTGACAGCTCTTAGCAGAGCTTCCAACATATCACAGTCCGATCTTCCCTTGACTTCAAGAGCAGTCACATTCCTAGAAAACTCAATGTATAGCCAAGTTACACAAAACACATTTGGACATCTACCTTGTTTGATGAAGGCAGGGGCTCAATGTCCTGTTCAAGCTGGCCTTAACTCAGTGCCACCACAGAGAAGTGGGAGGGGAGAATCAACTCTACAAAGTGGTTCCCTGACTTCCACTTAGGTGCCATTGGATGTGCCTCCCCACCGCCCACAATAACGAACAAAAACAGACATTTAAAATCCTATGCCTAATTGAATTGATCTGGACAAAGATTTATCGAAAGTGACAGTAAGGGTATGACATGCAGGTCTTGGGGGCACCTAACCAGTGTCCTGTCGCTTCAGCCTTCTGGCCACTTGAACCCTTCCTCTCCCTTGAACCCTACCTTCTAAACAGCTGCTGCCTACCAGCCCTGGCTCCAAGGACATACAGATGAGGGTTGGTGAGGAGGGCATAGGGTCTGGAGCCAGACAGACTCCTGGCCATGAACCTGAGCAAGTCATTTCCCTGCAGAATGGGCCAAGCACAGACTCAACATGCCCGGGTATGGGGGAGGGGGTGTTGAGTAAGGGTAAAGTCTGAAGTCCTCTGAACTAATAATATGCAATAGGCCAGGACCCCATGAGCAGGGTTGCCTCATCCTGAGAGCATGGAGCCATCCTTAATGGCAAGGAGACCACACAGCTGTTCTCAGTCTAGCCTGACAACCAGCCGCTCCTGACTCCTGCAGCTTCCCCTAACTGCCCACTGTGGCCATGGGGTAAGTCAGGGTTCCTGACCCTCTACTCTCCTCCAGCCTTGGAGGTAACCTCAGCCCTACCCTCCATTGAGCTGGGGCAGCGGGAGGCAGCTCACAGGGCCCTCCCTACCCATGCTGCTAGTTCATCTCTCCCTTTTCCTCACACTTGGCCAGTGTTTGCCATTTCAGCAAAACCCCTCAGTATGGTAATGGCTAGAGTTTGGCTTTGGGATGGACTGCCCAAGTTTACCCCTGCTTGAATGTTGCCTGGGACAAGTTGTTCAGGTGACACGTGGGAATCAGGTCTGGAGTGGGGCATGTTGGGGGAAGGGCAGAACTGCTAAAGGCACAGCAGCAAATTGCTGCAGGAGCCCAATCGAGTTCCTTCCCTCCATGCACCTGTTTCTCGCTCTGTAAAATGGGATCAAGCATACTATATCCACAGCTGTTAGGGAAAGCTAGCCAAGCTATAGGATGCAAGAAAGCACAAGACCATCCAAGGCTGCTCTGGGCTGGCATCCATCGGCCCCTCTCCACACAGCCGGCCTAGGAACCAGAAGTCTGGGGCAGCGGGTACTGAGAGGCCCTTGGGCTGGGCAAACATAGGCTGCTGAGTGTCTAACAAGGCCCGCGTGACTTCAAACCCTGTGCAAGGGCAGAGGGCACAGACTCTCCAGCTCTTCCCAGCCAATCTATTTGGGGTGTTGATACCAGTAGAATGTAGGAGGAAGCAGGGGTAGGGATAGCTCAGCTACAGCATCCTAATAGAGAATGGTGGAGAGACCTTCAAGAAAGGGAGGCAGGGAGCACTGATTCCACAGACAGTGCTGACAACAGGGTTGCTAAGGCTGTGTGCTCAGATGCAAGTCCCTGGCCCTCGACAGGCTGACTGAACCTTGAAAGCACAGTGGAATCTATGGGACAAAGCCATGCTCTTGACAAAATAATTTCCATGAAAAGCCCATGCCTAAGGCAGTGCATGCCAAGTTTCCAGGCGTGATTTTTCCAGTCTTAGTTTCCCCATTTCAAAAATGGGATGCGTGTGTGTTCACTCCTGCCTATGCAAAGCTTTTCGGATGGTGTTCCCAAGCTTTGGAAACAGGCCCTGGGCCGGGCGGCTCTCCATGAAGACTGTCACATTTCATGCTAATGACATCTTCCCTCCACAGCAGCTTGGTGGCCTCTGCAAGTTGTCAGTTTCTTTGACACTGGAGACTCCTGTGCCAGAAAAGGTGTGTCAGGTAGGAAGGAGGCTGCTGCCTAGGAAGTGCCTTCTCCAAATGTGAGACAAAGTTCAAGCTGGAGAAAGCGTCACTATTTCTGGCCTTGCCACCAAGAGCAAGTACTCTGTGTGGTTTGCTTATACCAACAAACCAACTCAAAGGCTTTTCCACTGAAATGCAAACCCACAGCCAGAGGCCATGGCCCACTCCTCCTGCAGGGTCCTCCTGACCCAGCCTGCTGACGCAGCTACAGGCTATGTTTACTTTCTATCAGCCTCATTAGCATGGGAACCACCCCTTGTATGAGGGGAGGAGGCAGAGCCAAAGAGAGCTTGGAGGCCCCTAATAGGGCTTGGGGCCTCTGCAAATTCAAGGTCTGTTTGAGGAGAGTTTGAGTCTCTCAGGTGACCACCTACAAATTGCTGCAAGCCCTCCTAGTACTGGAAGCTGATCCCAATTCAAGAACATCATAGCTTACTCTCCAACCTCACAAGATCTAAGATCAACAAACTGTCCCCAGCAGCTTCCAAGCACTGAGTGGGTAGATAGCCCAAGGCAGGCAGAGACCAGACCCAAACCTCAGTCTCTGGAGCCTAGAGTGCCCAAACAGGGCAAAGGTTGCTCTTTACAGAACAGCACCCTGCAGAGCTCCCAGAGAACCTAGAAAGAAGCTAGCATTTGAATCCCAATGCCCCTGGGAAGCCTGGCTTCACTAAGCAAGGCTGTGCTTCCATAAATACCCAGTCCCGTGATGTCACCACCCTAAGGCCGACTTTTACCGCCTCTGCTGCTGGCATCAGGCCCAGCAGACGCGTGATCTGTACCCACACATTAACACCTGCACTCTACAGCTGGACACTGCTGCCACCTTCACCTGTCCGAGGAGAATGCCATCTCCTGCCACTGTCCCTGCCTACTGATGGCCTTCCACCTGGCTTGGGTACAGGCCACAAGCTTGCTGAACACCAAAGCTGTCCCTAAACAAGCCCCCCCCCCAGAGGCATTGCTAAAAGCCTGGTCCATGGCCATGGGTCTGGGGGCCCTTATGTGGATATGGATTGGGAGAAAGGTGACTGCCTCAACAAGGGACTTTCACAGCTGAAGGAAGATTTGCTGATTAAGATCATTTTTTCTCCTATCACCATCAACACTGCCTCTGCAGCAGGGGACAAACACTAGAGACAAGCTTACTCCCCCTGGAAGCCACCTGCAGAGCAGCCTCTCTCCCCACCCCCACCAAGCCCCTCATTCCAACACACAAGTCGTGGTCCTTTCTGCCTCAGGCTTCAGGATAAACCTGTTTTATATACTCACAAATAGCGTCTTCGGCAAGCCATCCTGTCCAAGTCTGATCTCCTTCTCTCTCCTGCCTGGGCTGAGGAGGCTCAAGGTGGTTCAGAGGAGGAGCAGGATGCTCAAGCGAGGTGGAAAGAAGAAAATGAAAGCCAAGGGCAGTCAGTCACTTTCCCAGGACTGACAGGTTCATCTAGAAAAGCTGGGTGTAATGTGGCAAGGGGGCTCCAAACGGGTCCTCCCACGCAGGGTTTACACTGTGCCCAGAAGCCTGGGAAGACGTCGAGTCACCATGGTCGCCAGGTTGGGCGGGGGCGTCTGCCTCGCTGCTACCTGGGACTTCCTTGGGATTTTTCCCTCCCGCACATCCGGGGTGGTAGGGCGCTGGGATGAGGAGGGGAGAGCTGGGGGAGGGGGGTGTCTGTGCCGGTTTGCTCTCGCAGCATCCGGAGGAGGGACAGGAGTGCAGGAGCGCCCCCCTCCCTCCAGGAGCAATGTAGTGCGGCCGAGCTGGACCAATCGCCAAAGTGCTAGTTGCCATGGCAACTACAGCATCAAACAGAGCTGCCCTGCGGTACAGCTGCAAAATAAAGAGCCTTGGCGTTGAGTCCAAGGTGGCTCCTTCCTGGCCCACACTGGAAACCTGGAAATCAGTTGCTAAAATTCACAGGCCGAAGAATGATGGCACTGCCTTCCAAGGCAGCTCTTACGTCCTTGGCAAGAAAACTCAGGAGCCACTAAACTAAGTGCTCAGGAGATCTTGTGCCCTGGGGTTAGGGGCTATAAGACTTCAGCAAGCTGAGTGTCTTCTGGGGATTTCAGATGTTACTGTAAAATGGGATCATGACAGCTGTGTGACCAGTCCTGGAGGACCAACAACTTACAGCAGTGGAATAGCAGATGGCATACATAGCCTGGATCACTGATGCCAGTCATGTCCTAAAGGGAGTGAGGCTGAGGCTGGAGCCAGTCTGTACTAGCTGTGGTGCACCTCCTCCCTCCATTCTTTGCCCTCCTGTCAGCACCCCCAGTGTGCCTGCAGAGCATCTGCTTTAATCAAGGATGCATTCTAAGGGGGAAACAGAGAGAAAACATGAAAGTCGGAAAATTGTGCCTAGCAATCAGATCGGGATTCAACCAAGCAGAAAAGAGTCGCAGACAATGCATGGGGGGCATTTTCTTGAGCTGGGTGCAGGGAAAGGAGGCCTTTCCAGGAGCTCTTACCCAGTAGACTGAGATGGCAGGAGCTTTCTGAGCAAAGAGTTTGTGCTAAGGCCCTGAGGCAGAAAGAAGTCGGATGGATTTGAGGGACACTGGCACATCCAAGGTAGCTGAGAAGAGGTGAAAATGAGAGATGCTCACTTCTTCTCTCCCTGCACATTCACCTTCTCCCCCCTTTGTGTATCTCATGCTTACTTAAGCAGGCAGCCTGTTTACCAAGTATCAGTCAGGAATCTCAAACCCAGCTTAGTATGTGTATAAGGAATGCTTTTTAATGCACACAACTGACCCTGGGAAGGCACAGGGGGTGGACCTCATTCATTTAGGACCAACGGATAGAAGGTAGCACAGCCAGCTTTGTCTGGCTTAGCCTTCACTTGCAAAGCTGCCTCTAGGGCAGGGCACAGGTAGGGACAGGTAGTAAGAGTGTGAACCTTCTGGTCAGGGGTGGCAATTGCCAGGTTGACTATTTCTTCTTTCCATTCTCTCAGCCTCTCAGACCCACAGAAGTTAGGGGAAGACAGATGCTTCACTCTTACTCTTGAATTCTATTCTTTTATTGCAGAAGAATGGCTCTCAGAGACAGTGAGCAACTTACAGAAAGTTGCTCAGCAAAGAAGGACAGACGTCAGATGAAGAGGACTTTATTCTTCTGGTGGAGGGTCCTTGTATTCAGCATAGTAACTGTTGAAGTGGCTGGGTAGCCAAAGTGCAGGGGACTCTAGAAACATCCAGTCTTCCCATGGCCTGCCACCTTGCCCTGAGAAGAATGCTGTCATAGAAATAATTCAGATTTCTGTGGGTTTAACACATGATGAACTGGCCCCATCTCTCTCCTTGATTGAGTTGCAATATAGCTTATCAAAATCAACATAGCACCACACCATCAGAAGGAGTCCCTCTGTTTTGGGTCCTATTGTTTTTATAGTTGAGAAATCAGAAAAAAATTAATTAACCACAGCTGCTTAGAGAGGTGGGGGGTAGGCACTAACACTGAGGCGAAGCGAGCCCACCAGTGTGCTTTTATTCCAGCAATACCCTTTCAACCTTCTTAAAGAGGAGCTTCCTTTCCCAGTCTCACGTCACAGGTGAGTAAACTGAGGCTGCAAGGGAGAAACGGCTACCCTGGGTGTATCTGCTCTGAAGTCCCCATCCTGGGCTTCTTGTCATCCCTTTGGACACATGAGATCCATTACACACCTGTATCTTTCCTGGTCCTTCCAGAGAGCCACACACATCTTGCTTGTACTGTATTTTAAAGTAGAGTGAGTGATGAAGGCCTCACCCTCAGAAATAGCTGCCAAGGCTTTCAGGCTTTGACCAATCATTGAGTACAGCACACAGATGTTCTCATACCTGACCCTCTCTGCCTGGCACTGAGTCAGGTCTGTCCAGGTAAAGGAGACATTGACATTGCAGCTGTCGCTAACTTGAGACCCCAGATCTTTCTGAGTTCTGAGAGTATAGGAGTATACTATCACCAAGTGGGGATCAGTCTGGTTAGTTCAGCTTTGGAGACGGGAAGCCCAGGGACTCAAGAGGTTTCAAAGTCGGTTAGGAAGTGATGTGGCAGACTGTACTTGTCCACTTCAGCTGTGATCAGAAGTCTGGGGTGGGAGGGGTGGCAGTCAGTCTGCTATGACAGCCCCTGGCTAGGTTTGTAAGCACAGGACCATACAACTATTTACCACTTCAGGCTGGTGCTGGCACAGAGCCCTTCATGGCAAATCTCTAGACATACTCCTGTCCCCATCTTATCCTTGTAGTCTGGGGGCAGAAGCAGCTTCCAGGGCTGATTCCAGAAACTTCTGAGCTAGGACTTTCCTTTCATAAACTGGAAAATTCCAACTTGCAGGCTGACAGGGTCATTCAGGCAGAGTCTCTGTCTTCCAACCTGTGGCCATCTGTCCCCTAGGTGGGAAGAGATATGCCAGTTTCAGTCATTCCATGCAGGCAGCCCTGCACCTCAGGATTGGACCATCTTCACAGGGACAGCAGCCCATCTCCCTTCCAGGAGGTCGTAGGCCTAATGGTGGAGCTCCAGAGTGTGCACCCCTTAGCCTGTACCAGTTCCCAAAACACAATTACTTCAAGCCCCAGCACTACATTTCCCTTTTTCTAAAGCTTCACACTTTCAGGAAGTAAAATGCAAATTGCAGAAATAAGATGAACATTTCTTTTGAGACAGGGTCTCACTTATAACCTTGGCTGGCCTAGAGCTTACTAATTAGACTGGGCTGGCTTAGAGTTCATAGAGATCTGCTTGCCTTTGCCTCTCAGAATGCAATGCTGGGATTAAAGCTGTGCGTCATCAGGCCCATTGAAAAATGACTTCTGTGGGTGTTAGTTGGGAGGACTGGGCAGCCTATGTGGCCTCTGGTAATGGATCAGTATTCATCCCTACTATATGAATGGCTTTGGGAGCCCATCCCACATAGAGGGATATCTCCTCAGCCTAGACACATGGAGGAGGGCCTAGGCCCAGCTCCAAATGGTATGCAAGATTTTGAAACTCCCCATAGAAGTCTGCTCCCTGGGGAGCAGAAAGGAGATGGGATGGGGATTGGTGTGGGGACTGGGACTGACATATAAAACAAGCTTGTTTCAAATTTAAATAGAAAAATTATCACAAAAAAAGAAAAAAGAAAGAAAAATGACTTCATAAATTAGGTGTATTCCTCTTCCTGCCTCCCGGCCCCACATCTTACCCTTCTTGCTCATCTCACAGAAGAAATGGTTCTCATCTGTCTAGAGTGCATCCTTCCATCACTTTTCCTATGTGTTCATGCACATATGTATGCATGCGGAAACAGAAAGCACTGCATGGATTCTGAAAATGATATTGTGCTATGACACTAAAACTACTTAGAAATTTCTAAAAGACATGGAGATGAGCACTGTGAACTGTGACACACCAGCTGCGTGCATTGAGAACCCTCACCTGGCAGACAATACTGGAAGGCCCTCCCCAGCCCAGCTCCCAGCCTCCCATAAGTGCATGAATGATCCTTAGGGAACCTTTCCTGCTCAGTTTTGTCCACTTACACACATCCTGAGTAGGGTAGAATACTGTACATATTTGGAGCTGTACATAAGTGGCCTCACACTGTGTGTTTTTCTGAAACCAGCTCTCTGCTCAACATTATATTTGACTGCAAACCATAGGCTCTTCCACACTGCAGCTTCTCACATGCTTCTCACAGCATAGCTGTGGCCAGTGTTCTGCATGTGGATGTGGAGACCTTGTAGGAAAGGCTGGAATTGTCTACAGTCCCTCCCCTCATTGCAGGGTGGCTGAGGAAGGAGCAGCCCCTAGGCAATTATCTTTGGAAATGTATGTGGGCTTTTGGGATTTCAGCAAACTCTCCCTTATGCAGCAAACCAGATATTACAGGGTACCCCATCCCTTGACTTAGGGGAGATCAGATTCCTACCCCAATATAGCTAAGAAAGGTCCTTAGGACATCCTTGGAAGGAATTAGCATCTGGATCCACAAGAGTCTGTATCAGTTACCCCCAGCCAGGCTTGCCTCAGAGTATGCCAGGTTGGCTGTGGTGCATGAAGCTTGCCATAGGCATACATGAAGAAGTTCAAGCTGACTGAGTATCCCTGGTTGGGGAGAAAATCATGTTGGTCAATGTTGGTTGACCTGTGCTGGATGCCGTGGTCTCCAGAGGGAACAAGTGAGCCTGCTGAGAGCTCCCCTGGCTGGGAGGTAGAGTGAATGGGAACAAACCTGAGATGCAGTGGCTCTAGGATGGGAGTGCCCTAACTCACGCCCACATCCCACCTCTCATCAGGCAGTGAGTCCAGTGGTCAAGACTTGGCACCACCTCTGCCATCAACTGGGGTCTTTGGGTTGGGAAGTTCTCAAACCTGAGCCAGGCCATGCTCTCCACTCACAGCAGTGAGGTATGACTTCAAAGCACTGTTCAGGTCCCAGAAGCCCTGCTTCCTGAACTAAACTTGCCTGAGGTCTTTTAATTTGAAGGATTTTTCAATTTCTTTTTTTTTCTATATAAGACTATTAGGTAGATGAAGTTGGCCTCTCACACAGTAGAAATGCACATAACCTTGGACTTCTGATCTCCCTGCCTCCATGTCGCCTGTGCTGGGCTCACAGATATGCACCACTACACCTGGTTTATGAGGTGCTGAGGGTCAAACTCAGGGCTT